ACACCCCGGCCAGCTTCTGGACAAAGTCCCTTCAGGGAAGGGGAGGAAGGATTTGTCCTGAGCTGAGCCCCAAGTCTCCAGCCCCTGGCTGCCCACCCCCATCTCCTATCTGCCTGTCTGGCTGTGGCTATAATGTTAGAGGTCCCCATGACAGAGGTGCAACTTGGAGCTGACCAAGGAGGTTTTTCACTCAGGATCTGAGGAAGGTGGGAGGTGGGGCTACTTCCTGCATTTCCTGGGGGCATTCCACACCCCAGGAAGCCACGCTGAGGCGAAGCCCAGCTTTGGATTCTTAAGACTGGAGCAGCCCACCCTGCTTGGGGCATTCAGTACGTTCTGGGGAAAAATAAGTTGCTGGGACATCAGGGGCTGAGATCTGAGCCCCCGGTTTGACCTCCAGCTTGCCGTGTGCCTGCCTAAGAACCAGCCTGCACCGTAAAGTGAGGAGCTAGATGACAGCCTGGGCCCTCGTGCCACACGCTGACGTTCTAGGACTCAGACTACACGAAGAAGGAACAACTGCCCACAGAGGAGCCTGGCCTCACGTCTTAAGCCCAGCATTGTCCAGCACCAGCTCTTCGAGGCTCCCCGACTTGCTGAGGGTATGTAGCACCTGTTCTAGTACTTCTGAGCCCTGAGGACAGAGGGGTCCTGCAGTCAAGAGCCAAGAAGAACACTACTCTGTCCCTCTCCCCCGAGTCCTCGTTCTTACCAGTCTCAAGTCTTTGCAGTACAGTTTGGTGAACCACTGGTTGTAGGCCAGGGCTGCCACCATTAGGGCCAAGTCTCTGGGGACATCGGATAGGACAAGAAAGGATGAACTGGTAGCCAGGGGAAGGAGGAAGAGACTAAGAACGGGACGGCTGGGCTGGGGAAAGCTAGGTGGGGGGAGGGCAGTGGGGTAGATGGTTGGAGTTGCAAGGGTAAGTAAAGCAGGGGCTGTGGGTAGGACCGGAAGTGGAACTGTGAGAAGAGCAAGGGAAGGGTGAGGCTGGGAACTTGGGGGTTAAGTTTCTGCCCATCTGCTTACCGGCTCTCCAAGTGGCTGAAATCCAAAAGATTGAACTCTCGGTTGTCCTCAGCATGGTAGATGGTGTCCACATCCTTGGAAAGGCGGAAGTGGCTCACATCTGCTTCGGCCCCCTCCTCTGTCCCCTCCTGCTGGACCCCCCCCCCCATTCCCTGCCAAGTCCCTGCCCAACGCACCCATTGCACCTCCTCTCGGCAGTGTAGGCCATTGTAGTCACACAGGGCGGCATAGGTCTCGGAGAAGCCACCTGTAGGGCAGGAGACAGGCTGGCTCCGTGTTGGTGAGGGGGATGGGAAACAGTCTTGGGCTTCAAGGTATGGTCAAGGTCATTGCATGTGCTAGTGTCCTAGCTTCCTTCCATGCCATAAACCTCTTGAGATCCGGGAGCATGAAGTCCTCAGGGCACGCAAAAGCCCCTCAGGCAAAATCCATGTAGAGAGGGCTCTGGGTATGGGCAGGGCAATCCAGAACCCACGTTCTCACATCTGCCCCTGCTTACCACACACACTGTGAGTGGTAGATGTGGACGTTTCAGAGTTGGGAGATGTATCTCGGGGTCCCTCTGGGGTGTCTGCATTTCCACGCCGGATCAGACACCTGCAACATGAACAAGCCGTCCCAGAGAGAGGCAGAGGGAGGCTCTCCGTTCTTCCTGTGTTAGGGTGTGTGCGTGTCTCCAGGGAAGAGCAGAGAGAGCATCCTTGTCCCAGGAGCCCACATCAACAGGAAGGAGGAATCTGCCTGTGGTCTAATCCTGTGGGAGACCCCTTTTCTGCCACTCACCCAGGGCCAGGGCAGACCTTGGAGAGGGCAGAGCTCACGTGCCGGGTCACCTGGTCCACACTCTCAGCCGAAGGCAGCCGCATGCTCACCATGCCACGCTCAGTCTCCACCAGGATCTGAGGGGAGGGAACAGCAAGCCTCAGGTGTCCACTCCTTCTTCCCATTGGCCCAATAGGGGCCGGAGCCCGGGGGCTCACCTGGTTCTGACTGAGTGTGTTGAAGGCACGGATCTCCAGGACATTGAACGAGCTTTCTACCTGGTGGGGAGTGAGTGGGGTGGGTGGTGGGTGGGATGCTCAGCTCCTGGTAAGGGGCTGTCATTAGACTTGAAGGGAGCATGCCAGGCAATCCCTCCCCCACCTCAGCCCGACTTACCTTGGCTGGGACTTTAAGGGGAAAAAGGTGGAGGCGCCAAGAAGTCAGAGCCTGCAGAGTAGAACAGCTTAGCTTCTTGAGCTCTTGGGCCATGGTACTCTTGTCCTCTCTTATCTCATCAGCCCCCAAACACCTCACCCCCCCTCCCGTGTTTCTGCTGTTCTACCTTCAGCTCCTGTACATCAACCCAGGCTGCTTCTGCCCTCTCTCAGGTTTTGTCGCCTCAGTACCAACCCAACTGTTTGTCTTGCCCACCTCCCTTCGGCTCAGGCGCCCTTGAATGTCCCCTCTCTTCCCCCAAGACCAACGCTCTCACCAGCACTCGGTCCTCAAACTTCTTGGGTTTTGTCTCCAATTTCACACGATGCTGCTGGAGCACAGCCCCCTGGCTCAGGCACCTCCGGATGCTGTCTGCAGATGGGTAGGACCTGCTCAGAACCCTCCCCCCCCACTCTCCAGAGAGGGACAGATGAAAAGAGAGAAAGAGAGGCAAATAGGTACTGGACCGGGAGGTATGGGGCAGAGAGCTTCCTTTTCTGGTGACTTTGTTATTGGAGAAAAGTGGGGAGAAAACTGGCTGCTGGTGTCCCTGAGTCAGGGCACCGTTGCTGAATGACACTGTCTGTGGGAGCATGTGTCTTACACTCCTGAAGGTGTGAAGAATTTTTCTCACCCATGCACTACAGCGACCATCAACACATACACAGTGAGTCAGTGTGTGTGTGTGTGTGTGTGTGTGTGTTTAGGGGGTGTTGGGGTAGCTCGTGGGAATGTCTGGGGTGTAAGAACCTGCTCTTTACTATGGCTGTAGGCCTGTCTGCTGATGATGCTAGGGAACCAGAGTATGGCATTAGTGGGGACAGAGAAGTGTGAATGAGTGTTGGCTTGCATATGAAAGGGGCACAGTGCCAGGCAATTCTTGTGTGGAGGGTGGGGTGAGAGAAGGATTTAATGTTTCAATGAGCCGGTACACATCTTCTGACAGAACCATCTAGTTACCCCACTCTGTGTGTGTGTGTGTGCGCGTGCGCGTGTGTGTGAATGAGGGATAGAGTGTGCATATATGCAGTGGGGGTGTAGTTGCTGTAAGATGTGTACACACATTTCATGATTGTGCTCCTAAGTGCGTGTGTAGGCGCGAGAGAGCTCTAGAGTAGCAACGGGGCTCTGAGTATCCTTGAGCGTCCTGCTCTCTGCATGGGCTAGCCTGTGCTCCTGCCTTTGAGGATCAGGGTTGTGGCAGTGATGCGCGCGCGGGGAGGGGGGTGATGGGTTAGGAGCTACATCTGAGAATCACTGATCCAGAGAGGTCTTGAGAATGTGGGTGGTGTGTCAGAAGAAGGGGAAGGCTGGGACGGGGGCTGTGGGAAATGAGCCGCAGAAACCCTGCTTTCGCTTTTAGCTTCAGCCCGGGGGTCCCTCTGCCCTGACTCCCTCCTGTGACCCACTGGCTTAGGCGCTGCCGGGTTCCTGGGGTCCTCTCCCGGGTCAGTTCCGGGGCGGGGCCGGGCGGAGGGAGGGTGTTGAGCTGAGCAGCAGTCAGGACCAGGGGCAGCTCCCAATGCCTGGCCCCGCCCGGCTAGGCTAGGGGAAAGCTGGGACTCTCGGGAGGGAAGACTGGCTGCCTTGCGGAGGGCTGGGTCAAGAACGCTGAGAGTCAGCCCCCAGGAGCGCCAGGGACCTGGACCTGTCGCCGAAGAGCGGGACGGGCGGCCCCGGGACAGAGAGGTCCTGATGGGGTGAGGCGAGCGGGGCAGAGGAGGATGCTCCACGGAGAGCAAAGCTGGGACTGGGGCGCAGGGGAAGGGACTGCCTGAGAGCGAGGACGCGTGAGGGGGCGGGAGGCGCCGGGCTGGGGCGAACCGCAGAAAAGCACGGGGTCTGGATGCTCGCGGACCGGGCGTCCGGAGACGAAGGCAACCTCGTACCTTGCAGCTCGCGGGTGAGCTCCACGCTGGCCTTGGCCATGGCGGCCGCCGCCGCCGCCGCCGCTGCTGCTGCTGCTGCCGCTGCTGCAGAGGAGCCGCCGCCGCCGCCTCCCGGGAGGCACCGCACATGCTAGTCCCGGCTCCGGCAGGGCCCGGCGCTGAGCGCTGCAGTAGCGGCGGAGCCCGCTCCCGTCAGGGGCGGCTGCGCGAGCGCTCCTCCCCCCGGCTGCCGAGCGCCGGGGCTCCCGCCCCTCTCGGAGCGTTGGCCAACGGAGCATGCGCGCCGAGCTCCCGAGCCGCGTGAGACCCCGCGCGCGCTCGCGACCACCCCTCCCGCGGGCTGCCTCGTGAGGAGCCCGGAGCGCGGCGCCCGGTGTCCGAGCCGTCTCAGGGGCGGGGTGCAGCCTCTCCGCTTGCCGTGCCACCCACGCCTCGGCCGCCCGGCGCGGAATCCGCCGTTTCTTTGTGTGCGCGCCTCGGTACCCCTCCCCGGGGCATCCTCGTGCGGCCCCGCCCTCCCTCTCCTCCCTGCTCCGGAGCCGTCCGGCTCGTCCTTGCCGACCCTGGAGGGAACTCGGAATCCGGGGCGCTAGAAGGCCCGTCCGAACGTGCGGGAGGGAGTTGGCTCTTCTCTGCTCTCCAGTCTAGCCTCGGGGATCCCCGCGGCGTCCTTGGCACCGTCCCTGGGAGTGTGAGGCTAGGAGTAGCACCTGGGAGTTCCCGAGCCACTTCCCCCCAAAGCTGGCAGGCAGCTCGGCAGGCGGACACCTCCACCCTGGAGCGTCAAGCTCAGGCCTTGGGGACAGGGAGGAGGGCTGGGGAGAATCCAGAGGTCCAGCACTGCCCAGAATTATCAGACACACCGAGAAACGAGTACACGCTGATTCAGATCATCTTCATTTTATTGGTACCCTATTTGCAAACTGTTCATTTCCATCTCTGTTCTTTCCACTCCAGGTCCCTTCTATCTCCGTTCAAATTCTCCAGGGACAGGGGTGAGAGGGACTTGGTCCTCACTAAGGTAGCCACAGCCTTCTCAGCACCCCCTCCTTTCCACTCCCCCCCCCCGCCTCCCCGCCCCATCCCCAAAGCCTTTTCCAAGGCCATAGCAACAGCAGGGATGCTCATCTGACTACACTCTGTCTACAGGGAAAGCAGGAACTCATCATTGTGCAGAGCTGATTTTTGTGAGGTGAACAAGACGTTAGGCAGTGCCAAGGAAGTGTCACAGAGGAAAGGTGGACGGCACCCCCCCACCTGACCCCTAACACCAGCTGGAGTTAATCACTGCCCTGGTAGGCTGTCTCCAGGTCCTCAGAGGCGAGAAGGGGTTCCTCCCCCGACCACTACTGTCTCGCCATTGATGTAGCTGGCATCTTCAGAGCACAAGAAGGAAACTATGCCTGCGCATTCCTCTGGCTTGCCTAACCTGGGAGACAGGAAACAAGGACAGAGCAAATGTCAAACAGGCCAGCCTCTCTCATCTATCTGGCTCACAGGGCGTGACATTTGCTTAAGAATTATCAGGTGGCAGCTGATGAGAATGCTCGGCGGCGTTAAGAGCATTTAGTGGCCAGCTGCTCTTCCAAAGGACCCAGGTTTAAGTCCCAGCACACACACGGGCAGCCCCCAAAGGTTAAAAACTCCAGTTCCACAGGCATGTGATGCCTTCTTCTGCCCTACAGGGGCAGAGGCATAAGGAACAAATGCAACACACAGACATACACACAGGCAAAACACCCATACGTATTAAAAATTATTAGGTCATTTTTCAGAACCAGTGTACAGCTTTTTTTGCCTGTTATAAATAGGGTAGTTATGATTATGTGGTTATAATTTACAGAAACATAAATATTGTATCCTGCAAAACCATGTTATATTTAAATATAGAAACACTGTTTTTAGATACCAGAATGCAAAGTCAGACCAATAAAATGGTGAACAATTATTTTGTTTTAAAAGAAATTATTTCAACATGTGTGTGTGAATATATATATATTGGCTATTCAAGTGTCAGAGTCTTCATTGACAGTAAATGGCCTAATCAAGTTGATCCCTTTCCGGAATCTATTTTTTTGTCCTTTTAGAACTAGGTTTGAAGCTGGGCGGTGGTGGTCCACAACCTTAATCCTAGCCCTTGGCAGAGGCAGGCAGACCTCTGAGTTCCAGACCGGCCTGGCCTACAGAGTGAGTTACAGGACAGCCAAAGTTACACAGAGAAACCTTGTTTTCATAGGAGTGTGCTAAATCACATTGTTTGTATTGTGATCCTGTATGTTCTCTATGTTCTAGAGGTGACAGTGTCAGTGGCTAGACTAGTGTGTCTCCAACCTAGCTGCACAGGGTAGATACTTGGGAGGCTTAATAAAAGGAAAAGAAAGAAAAGGAAAAAAAAGTGCAAATTCTACCATGGGCCAATTAAAGAAGAGTCCCTGGGAGCGTGCCATAACCAACTGCACTTGCCAAAGGCCCCGAGACGATTCAAACATGCAGCCAGGATCCAGAGACTTTGACTTAGACCACTCACCGGGGTCTCTAGGATGGCAACACTGTGAACTAAACCTAAACAGCTCATGCCCAACTTTGGCTTGACTTTGAGGAAGTATGGAATGTTTGGACTGGTAAAGAGATAGACACTGCCAGCATTTGTCCTTGACGGATCAAGCCAGAGAAGCCGGAAGGCAGGGAGAGTCAGGGAACCTGGAGTGATGGAGATCTAGCAAGAATGTTTGTGTAGCTCAGCCAGCCTAATGGGGAAGTGAGCAATTCCCTCAGGCCGAGTCGGGGCTTTGGTAAGGTTTCTCATTGATTTTACTTAGGTTGTAGGGCCATCAGTGTGAGCTTTGGCAATGCCATTGTCTTCTGGGTTCTGGTCTCCCAGATGCCAGGTAGACAGTGAATGAGAGTTCTACCTTGTGCCAACTCTGGCACCTTGGCAGTGAAAGCAGTGCCCTTGGTCAGGTCCCCGGAGTGAAGGGTCTATGAACCTGTGATGTCTAGAAGGAGCATGGTGAGCCAGCTGTGGGGCTGAGGGCCAGAGGAGAGCCTTTGGTCTATCCACACTAACCCTCACTCACAACTGCTTACCTTGTAATACGCATGGATTCTTTTATGATGTCCTCTTTTGATCTGTCCTCCCAAAACTGCAGGAAGAATGGAAATATTTTTATGTGCAAGAGGAGGAAATCAAGGGAGGAGAAGGGAAGGAACTGCCTGTCCCTACAGCAACTGGGAGGAAGGGTTCAAATTTTCATGTCTTGTTGCTTCTTCACTTCCTGCTCTCTCCACCGCTGGCCTCTACATCATCGTTTTTAGGTCATATTCAGGCATCTTGCTAGGTACCCTCAATTCTCATCCACTTTAGGAGACAGGATACAATATGGGTACAGTCTGAACTCCTGGCTCTATCTCACTTGGTAGAGCCCAGTAGGAAAGAAGTATGTGGGAGTCTGTCCCAGGGAAAGTGTCTGGGAAGGATAGGGGATATGAAAAAGCACAGGCATCAGGGATGGGGTAGATGGGGGTTCAGGACTCGGGTACTGAGCTTCCCCATCCCTCCAAGGGACCTGGGGGTACGATGTTCTTCCTTCTCACCAAGCTGCTGAAACGAGTCTTGATGAGTCCGGGTGCCAAGCAGTTCACTCTAATGTTCTTGGAGGCCAACTCAGGTGCAAAGTTCTTAGTGAGACCCAGCAGAGCTGTTTTACTAACATTGTAAGGGCCCAGAAACTAGGGGAGAAGAGAGTTGAGTTAGTTTATTAGTTTGCAAGTAATTTTTTATTCTTAATTGCACAACAAGGGTGGGAACAACACCACCAAAAAGGCACCTCCAGTAAGGGAAGGTTCACAGTCAGAAACCGTCTTGTGGTCACATGGAAGCAATCTGTCTCCTTTGTGGGAGAGGACTTGGTAGAATGATGCTAAAATACTTCTTTGGGCAGTAGGAGGAATGGATGGTGTAGGATGGAGGGCAGGTAGGAGTAGTAGGTACTCACAGGAAATTGAGTGAAGCCTGCTACGGAACCCACAATCACCACCGAGCCACCCCTGAAAAGGAAAGAGAGCCGACTCTCTTAGCATAAAGACCACTGCGCCTGCAGGCCCCATCTCCCCCACGCTTCCTCTCCGTATCGGTACCCTCGTTTCTCCATCTCTGGCACCACTGCTTTTATCATCATGGCTGTAGCCGTCACATTAATGCTCAGAATCTGAAGGCAACAGAAACAGAACATAAAAACATGAGAAAGGGCCCGGGACTCACATAGGTTCCCCGGAAATGCCTATTAGAGTTGATAGGGATCATGGGTTGACCTAACAATGGGACAATTTAGGATTCAAGGTTAGGTGGCTGACTCTCACAGCTCACTCAAATAGATGACGGTTCATCAGGTAAGGTGAGACAGAATGGAGCCTGTTCACCTCTCCTTTGCCCAGCCTGTCCGCAATCAGCTGGACCTCTCAGGGATGCTTGTGTTGATCTCGAGCTGGATTTTTATATTTTTTTCCAAGTAGAGAGAACCTGGAATTGGGCCACGGCCTGGACCTACACGATAGTGGGCTGGGTTTCTCAGGGAATGTGTAGCCCAACCCGAGACATCTGGGGGTTCTATTATTTCCTTGGCCTCTGCCCTTACGCAGTGGGAGGACCTCCAGGATGGACTGTCTGGATGGATATTTATCAGAAAGCGGAATAATGAGGGAGCATTTCTGGGGAAGCTGGGGTGAATGCTACAATTGAAATTCCCGTATCGCAAATTTAAAATTTAAATGTATGACCTTGTTACCTTGTTCTAAGCAGTAGGTTGCTCACTTCCTGTGTCCCCATGCTAACTTCACTAAACATCTGAGATGGAAGTACACTGACTGTCCAGCATCCCTTACCTGGATTCAAGTTTTTTACTTTTTGACTGATGTGACCTCTTCACATACCTGTACAGCTTTGTTTTCTCACTCCGTAGCCCAGGATATCCTAGAACTCACTATGTAGCCCAGGCTGGCCTTGACCTCATGGCAGCCCTCCTGCTTCAGCCTTCCTCGTGCTGGGATTTCAGGTATCTGTCACCATGATCAGTTTTATTTAATTGTGTGTTTGTGTGTGTGTGTGTGTGTGTGTGTGTGTGTGTGTATGGCAGTCAGAAGTCAATTTGAGGCATTTTTCTCAGTTCCTTCTCTAGCTTATCTTTGGTTTTGGATACGAGGTCAGTCACGGCACCTGGAGCTCACGATTCAGCAGGACTGGCTGGTCAGTACACACACACCATGTCACTGTCTGCCCAGGTGCAGGCATGATAGGCACACTAGAGGCCTGACGGCCGGCCTTCCAGATTTTACAACAAGCACTTAGCTGAGTCATTTCCCCAGCCCCTGGTTCTTTTTTTAAAAGTGTGTGTGTGTGTGTGTGTGTGTGTGTGTGTGTGTGTGTGTGTGTGT